TGTACAAGGCATTGGTGGAAAACGTTTGGCCCATGAAGTACCTGGGAACTGAAAGGGTGTTTCATATGCAGGCGCAGTGCAACTTTAAGAAGCTTCACTGGCTGATTTAAAATGAATTGGGTAGTTCAGCCTGATTTTCATTACAGCAACACAAAGCTACTACCCAAATCGGCTTTGCTGGCCTTCTTTTAGACAGGAATGAAAATTTATCTTGGAATAAGTGTTTTGCAGTCCAGCGTCAGCCAGTTCTTGGTTAAGTAAGCACGATACCCACATTTCCTATCTGACATAAAAACGTGGGATATACAAATATAGGTCATAGATGACATATATCATATATATGATATACATTATATATATGTATATATTTTTAAATATAGTGATCTTATTGCCACTATATCATATTCGTTAATAACTCATACATGTTAGTCTAGATGGAAATTATATTTTCCAACTTAACCATCCAATTTGAATCACTGACACACTGAGTTTTTGGCAATGTCCTAAGTGGTAAAATGGAAGTAACATAGTAAGCAGTAAAGTTCAGTGTTTAAAGTAGTTATTCAGTACTGTCCAAGACTTTTTTTATGTGACGGGCATACCAGCATACACTGGAAAGTAAGTCAGACACTAAAGCAGCACAGGAAAAGAAAAGTCTTAAAACCATGAGCTGTTCCCACTCAGGAAGAAGAAAAGGAGATTCTCCCATGTATATCTCTAGTCAACTGGCTAGTGAGACAGTACAACCAACCGGTTTTTCATAGTTTGAATCTTGAGAATATTGAACTTTAAATAATCCAAGAGTGGACAAATAAGATATATAACACTGTAGTTATAGAAAACTTGATGACCTTGAAAAGACAAGGCTGCACTTACAGCTACTGCATCATGAAGTAAAATTGTTTCTTCTCCTTGAGCTATTTTTTACAAATCTATTTTGGATCTTAATATACTTTCAAAACTGAGATCCATTTTATATTATGAACAGTAGCAACTTGAGTGCAACAGAAGCAGCTGGTATTCTGTAACATAATACTAACAAGTGTCAGTTTAGTAAAAAGTTTATTATGAAGCAAAACTGCTAACCAAAGTAATTTCTGATGTTAGAGTTTTTCATTACAAAGAGCTAGCTGAAGTGACAAATGAGTTTATCGCTGTCAAGAGACCTGTATTTTATTTTGGTCACTTAGTATTAATTAAATCTTGCAAGTAATTATTTTTTGCATGTTTGCTTTGTTTAATATTTTTAAACAAAATATTGCTCTCTAAGGCATAGTTTACTGTGTGTTTACCAATCGCTTAATAAGTTTACAGTGCTGTGTATTGTTTCTTCTTGACAGCACTCTGCACAGAGGAGTGTGTGCATGGAAGGTGTGTTTCTCCTGACACTTGCCATTGTGAACCAGGATGGGGAGGTACTGATTGCTCTAGTGGTGAGTAAAATCACAAAAAAGTGATAAAGATATGTGCTGCTGTTAAAAAAAAGGCCCTAAATAAAGCCGTGGCCTTAGAACTTGGATGATTTAAGTGGAAAAATGAAGGTTGTCTGTTGGTTATTTTGCAACTATGTGATAATACCCTTTCCTATGACAATGACTTTCACCTTTTTTTCTTGTTTTTACAAAGAAGTGTTAAATGTAGTGGAGGATGCTTTTAATGCTTTCGTCCCTGTTACTGGGATACCAATATAGATAATGTAGCTCTGTTATGAAATTTTTCTCTCTTAAATCCTTACTACAACACATTCTCATTAAATACTTTGTGGAGTGCTTGGAGCACTTGTCCAAGGGGACAAGAGGAGAATCCTTGTCCTGTTGAAGCCAGTGGGAGTTCTGCCATTGACTCTTCATGCAGCCCAGATTCTACCTCCTGACTTGAAATCCACACCCTAAATTATCCATACTGCAGAAATTGGGGAAATGGTAGAGGTGGGAGTTCTGCACCTTTTACTAGGAAATTAATTCACACTTGAGGCTTTCAATTCTTTCAGCTGGAGAAGCTGTGTCAAACTCTCTTAATTGGTAATGATAAGTTTAAGTCTATGTGATTAGTTCATGCTGGAATGAAATAGCTAGCATTCTTTCCAGTACAAATATCATAGATGTTATGTAACACCGGCCCAATGCGTTCTTGACATAACAGAAATAAGCTTGTTAAATTAAGTCTATTTGTCCGTCAGGCAAGTAAATAAAGCTGCATGGAGAAAGATGCTGTGAGTCATTTTCTGAATGAACATTTCATTTTGCTTTTAGTTCCTCCCTTTCTTCCAAACTGATTTGGATCTTAAAAAAGAGACATCATTACCAGGCAAAAAAAATAACAGAAAGGGGATCTATAAAGGGAGGCATTAGAAGAGAAAAAGAGTTAAACGTGACTGGGGATGAACACCTCCAGAGACTGAAGTCGATGGGGCAGACTCTTCTCTTGTCAAGTCAACTGGTGTTTTGTCTGGAGCTTTGCTGATGTCTCCTCAGTTACAGCAGAAAAGGTGATAGGGAGAGAGCAAGGAGGAAGGACGGGAAGAAAGGTCATGCTTTGGGGTTTGAAGCAACCTTTTGGGATTATCTGACAGGTAGACAAGGGAAAAACTGGGCAGCATAACATACTGAATATCTATCTGTAACAATATTTTTAAAAAGAAAAATAGTACCTTCAATTGTAAAATATTGTCTAGAATCTCAGGAATTAATTTTATCCTTTGGTTATTTTTAGCAATAGATATGTTTAATCTAACAGCCAGTGAGTATTTATACACTTAGAGAAGTTAAAAAAATGTGAAACAAAAATACTATGATAACATGGACATACACATAAAATGTATATATTTATACACACATGCATACACAGAGTCACAAGCACTCTGTTCTGTGTATAATGAAGGAAAGGATAAGATGTCAAAGTACAGAACGGTCTCGTGGGCTAAAACTATCCAATGACTCCTATTAAATTGCACTAATCTTGCAAGTGAAGATAAAAAGAAAAAGAAGGTTTTTCCTATATTGAATATTTAGCTTTTTAAAGTAATTAGGAATATTAAAGCACTGACAATGATTGAGATAGAAACATTATTCATAACTTTTATTTCCGCACTGGGCAGCAATCCAGTATATTTCATTTATGAGGTTTCTGTGGTAGAAAGAGAAGTGCTAGCCAATTCCTAAATTAAATATGCCCTGTTAACTTTTATAAATGATAGCCCAAGATTAGCTTCAAAATTTAAGCTTTCATTTTATTAATATAATTAGTGTGTTTGCTGGACTACGGTGCCCATTGTCTTTCATTCCATTTGTTATATGCCGGGCAACATGCGTTCTTGTCCTAAGGTCTGATCTGAACAAGCACTGTCCAATGTAATGCTTGTAAGTGTGAATGGCCTCATACAAGTTAGCTTTTACTGCAGCTGAGAGAGCTGCTTACCTTTATGCTTGACACTAGAAATTTTGATGACTGTCGTCTTTATTGCTAGGAGACTTTGTTTAAATTAGAAGGTATAGAACGCATATCAGCTGAATAGAGTACAACCGTTACTCTGAGTATTTCCAAGAAAGAAGAGAGAAGCTGGGAGCCTTTGCCTAACTGAGGTTAACTGGGATTTTCAGATACATTGATGATCCATGTATTGAGTCATGTCTTACTCTTATCCAGTAATAACGTAGAAAACGTTTTTCATTTCTACTGGAATAATGTATTACCTGTGCCTACTTTCTTCCTTTTCATTAATATTGGGTAGCTACTATGAAGGTTACATGTTTGCAACGACACATATAATTTGTTGGATGTTTCTGAATGGCTGGCCATGTCGGGCTGTGCTCTAGATAAAGTGAAGCTGTTGGCTGTATTCATGCCACCCCACTCCCCACGGGACCATAGAACTTTCCTGTATGGTCAGTATCAGTGATTTTACTAAGTCACAGGCATACTGCTTTTAACATTGGGTATTTAAAACTATTTTACTGGGAAAGTTGTTGCTAGCCAAAACACACCCTTTAAACTTAGAAAATCTCCCATGAACTATAAGTGATTCCTGAATGATCTCTTCTGAAAGCTGGTGATGGGGCAGTGGAACAGGTTGCCCAGAGAGGTTGTGGATGCCCCTTCCCTGGAAGTGTTCAAGGCCAGGCTGGACGGGACTTTGAGCAACCTGGTCTAGTGGAAGATGTCCCTGCCCATGGCAGGGGGGTTGGAACTAGATGGTCATTAAGGTCCCTCCCAACCCAAACCTTTCTATGATTCTGTGAAAACAACGTTGAGAAATGGAGCGTACCTGACACTGGGGGTCATTTGTTGTTTACCTGGAAAAGATCTAGGGACACTCACTCTTTTTGAGATGGTATTTCAACACCCTGCATCTCAGACCATTATATAAGTTATATATAAGTTTCATTTGGTTTGATGGGTGAGGTTCAACATAAGCAGAGCTCCAGCACAAGGTCCAAGTGTCACTTCAAAACCAGAATTCAGATCTAAATGTTTTTCTTTTTTTGGTGCGCCGCAAAGACTGCCTTTGCCAGGAGAGGGTATGAATTCTGACACTGAGCACAGATTTCCTATGGGGAGGCAAGGTTTTGGTGTTAAATGCAGTTTCCCAGTGTTACCATTCTCCCTTGGCTAGAATATACTCAAATTGTATTCAAATTCAAATGTTTTGAATAGTTCCAGCTACAGCCTGTAGTCATCCAAACAATTTAATCATCTTTCTCAGAGTTCGTTTCATGCTATCCTAAAACTCAACCTGTAAGACAACAACCACAAAGCTTGCTATTCAGTGCAACTTCCCAGTGACTAATCATGGAACGTGTTAGAGTTCATCTGTTGTCAAGGTTAAAATAACTTCAGATGAATTGCTAAACAATTATAAAAAAAACCCTGTGCCATACTCAGCTCTGCATGCCTTTATACCTGTGTTTTACTGCATGCTGTTGTACATCTGTCGATGCCCGCAGGCCTAGCCTTGATTTCATGCTATAAAGCTGCAATATATTAAGGCTTGATTACCATAACAATAAAAAGAGACGTAATGAGGTATTAACTAAAGAAGCTCTTGAATAAAATGTTTCCAAGCTTTTAATGATGCTAAAAATTAAAAGGAGAAGTCTTTTAAAAAAGCCCATACCTTTCCCCTTCCCTTTTAACTTGTTTTATTAAAATCATGCCCATTTTGTCCATGGAATCTGCACTGCTGTTTTTTTAAATACAAAGGAAAATTGCAAATGCTCTGTGTGAACTTACCTGCTCACCTGTCCAATTATTTCAAAGCAATTAACTTCAAACAGTATGATATACTGGCTTGAAGTTCTGGTAGGAATATAATTGACTGTTGGTGGTTACCTGGCCTCTTCTGGGTCTTGATAATGGCCATCTGTATTTGCAAGCCGTTAGGCCCCAATCCAGCAAAGCACTTAAGCATATCCTTAACTTGACACGAGTAGGACTTTTCATCTGCTTTAAGTTAAGTGGGTGTTTAAGGATGTTGCTGAGTAAGTTTTGAAGAAACAGCTAAAAAGACCTCTGTGAGATCTAAACAAGCCTCTCACTGAATTCATCAGGTCTATAAGGAATAAGGTGTTCTTTCAAAATGCTAAGACTTCTCAGGCAATATTATTGAAGACCATTTTGACTCTCATGAGGAATTTTCATTGCAGATAAGATCACAGAAATCTTTCTGGTTAACAGATTCACAAAACAGTGGGCAACAGGTGGGAAAAAGAAAGTTGAGAGCAAGAGCCCTGAATTAAAAGCAAGAACCTTCTAAAATTTTGTGTGCCAATTTGAGAAATTTCAAGGTAAAAAAGCACAGAGATTGTAATGAAAAAATAAAGTGGTTTTGAAAATGTTTGTTTTGCTATTAGTTTCTGGAGAAAATTTAGTACTTGTCCAAAGTGTAGTTAAAGAGATGTTGGCATAACATTGCCAAATCATTTTTCTTCATGCTATGTCACGTGGTGGAGAGAGATTATAATATTGCTGTCTGGCATAGGCTGATCAGTAATGTACACATATGGACAACATAGTTTTCTTTGGAAAAGATGTTTTGTACAAACTGTTATTAAGAGCGAGAAAGTATTTAATCTTTATCTCTTTGTAAAAAATCACCAAGGTTGTAGCAACAGGCGGGTATAACATCACAGCAAGATCACATTTAAGGGTATAGCCCTAGAGCAGCTGGAGTGCTTCAGTACTGAGACCTGTGATGAATGAGAACTGCAGATACTTTGCTAAATCTGAAGGGGGTTTCCTTGACAAGCTATGGAAAGCAAAAGAAGAAATCTCAGGAGAAAACCAGAGTATTTTAAAGTAAGTCTGTGGTGTTTTTCAGCCTTGATTTTGGCTTCTGTGTTCTCAAAATGCTTTGAATTATTTCCAAAGAAGAAATAAAGTTCAAAGGAAAGATTCCTGGTTTGTGAATACAGGGTCAAAAAAAATTCAGCCTAAT